TTCATTCCTTTCTCCCTCTCCCACACTCACATTCACTATTATTCTTATTGTTTTTTATTGATATCTGCTGCCTTCAACACCATTTTTTTCTTCCACCCCCTGAGACTTAGCAAACTGGAATAGTCCAGAGTCCAGGCTGAGTTGTCAGTGTTTTCTTTCCTGAGCCTGGATAAAGTATAAGCTATTCAGATTATGATTTTTCTATTCTTACTTACAACAGATATAAAAGAAGGCAAATGCCTTGTTAGTCATTGATAAATCAGGTTTCTGCCAGATCCATAAATGTAAAGATCAGCATAAAAGTAAAATTTTGCAGTAATCCAAAAGTTGTGTAAATCTCCCTCTTGACCTGGAGCATAAAGGAATAAGAAAAATATATGGAAAATGAAATAGGCTGAAAAAGTGAAGTGCAGCCAAAGATTATCCCTTTCATGACATATAATTGTAATTTCACCACCACACTCTTACAAGCAGAATGAGAAACTACTGTAAGTAATGATTATAAATAACAATGAAAAAATATAAAATCTCCAAGCTATTGAATTTACACATCATGACCACTGCCTTTCTAAATAACATTAACCCCATCTTCATTGCTCAAAAGTAAGTGATGGGAGATTTTTTTTTTTTTTTTTTTTTTTTTTTGGGGGGGGGGTGATTTCCCCAGTCCCATTTGGATAAAAGAATCCTTACAAAATTAACAAAAGCAGGATATACACATTCTACATAAAATTAAGAAAATCTATAAGATATAGCCATTTAAATGGCATTTTAAAATGAGATTCATTGAAAACACACAAAGATGAAAGAGGAAAGTAATGCCCACAATGTTAAATTTAGTCCCAGATGCCAGAGGCTTAACACTCTGCACTCTAGTCAAGGTACACAAACCCTCAGCAGCTCTCAGACTTCCGTAATACATTTTCCTTTGCAAACAAACCAGTTAAAGTTATTTCTTGCCAAGTATATGTGGTGCAAGATGTGTTTGCCTTTGTCTCAGCAGGAGGTAAAGAGGCCACAGTGCCCTTTATGCAGTCCTATTCTGAACAATAATTAAGTACTGTATCATCCTTATTACATTATAATATTGGTATCAATGGATTGTTTTGGAGAACTGGTTTTCATATAAAATAGTTACAGTCTGAAAACATCATATATAGGGTATAGTAATGAAATCAACAGTATAGTGCAGCATTAATCAACAATAGAAGTCTACATTTCCTTCAGAGCTCTGGCAAAAGTAACCACATTTACATTACTTATATTCTTATATAACAATTCATAGGCCTCGCTAGCAAACTTGACCATGATCTATCTCTATCTTGGCAACAATTTGTAGGCCTCACTTAAGAACCTGACCATGGTCTGTCTTGCCAAAGTACACATGGTACAGATATTTTGGCCTTGTTTGAGCTCTGAAAGTGCAGATGCTGAGGTTTATGCTTGAAGCTAAGCCATTGTCACAGTGACCCTCTGATAATGCTCAATCAATTCGCACAAAACTTTAATCTAACCCACATTAATAGCGTTAAAGCTGGTGGGTCCCTTGAATCTAAAATTGACTTATGATTGAATGATATTTGCAAAATCCATTTTTATCATCTACCTTTTCTCACTGTTTACCTTACTTTTTCCCTGGAATACTTTAGGTTCTTCCCATCAAGTCAAATTCAGTCTTACAGATGGCTTTTTGCTGACCACGTCTGCTATAATACACACTAATAGAGCACAAAGACAATCCAGTGGCACCAAAACTGTTAGAGTCATCTATGGAAATCTCTCCTGAATATCTGCTTCCTTTCGGCACCTCAGTTTCAGTCAAAGCAAGAGCCACAAAGTAGGAATCATCACCATTCCTGAGATGGGAATGTGAAATGTAGGCTTAACTGTCACTGAATTGATAGTCACTCCGCTGGTCGCCAACAACCATTTTATGGCATTACACAAAAGTTTTCCTTCTCATGATAGCGTGATTAATAATACTGCAACGAAAATAATCTTTGTTTTCTCAATAATACAAAAAAAACTAACCTACTGAATACCTTGCGGCAATGCTATGGCTGAAAAATAGATAAACGCTGCACTTATCTCGTCTACTCGTGAGTGTTACACACGTTTCATTCTCTCGCAACGACCGGTCCTCACCTTCTGTCTGGCTAATATCATTTCCTAGAGAGAGGAAAAATATCTGCTGCCTTGGGTGAACGAGAAAACGAGTCCAAATAAGCAGACAGGTGAGGGCTCGTCTTTGTTCCTGATGTTTACATGCTGAGTTGCCAGGCGACGCAGCGCGCGGCGAGCGGCCCCTGCGCCCCCGCGCCGCCCCTGCGAGGGCTGCCCCGCCTGGGTTGGGCCAAGGATTACTTCCCGAACTCACACACGGCACTCATTGGGCCGACGAGACGATAATTCGGCCGCAGAATATAGGCTGAAAAATACGGCCGTCAGCAACTGATCTCGCCCCTTCATCCCACCCCCCGTATGTGCGCGCTCAGCTGATCACGGGACGGCGGCGAGTTCGAACCCTGCTGAGCGGCCTCGGGGAAAGGGCTCGGCGTTGACAGCCCCTTTTGAGCCAATAGACACCCACGTCTGGGGAGATGTGCCTCCGACGTGTTAGCCTTGCCTCTTGATGGCTGAACGCAACATGTACTTCATGCCCAATTAATCGAGTGTGCAGGTGTACTTACCTGCCATCAAAACGGGTGTAAGAAGAATGGAACTAATGATCACAAGCTGAAGTTGGAACTAGCAAAAAGTAAAATCACAAACGTACGGAATGTAAGAACTGTGTACGACCTGTTACAACAAAGATTTAACGATGAAGTGGAAAGGATATAATGGAATGTAATGGGACTTCCATTTTGGACCAGCGCATTTTTTTTAAATGAAGAGGCTCACTATTTTTTTCTATTGTTGAGACGAAACGAATTAATCAAATAGTCTTAGAATGCTCTCCAATCAAATCCGTTATATCTCAGTTACACGAGTTCACGCAGTGTCGTATGTCTCTGATTAATGGAGTGAAGGAAATGCAACAGGATGTAAAGAAATATCTGGGGAATTGGGGAAAGTTGGGTAAAGGAACATCGAAGAGAAACGGAAAACCTTGAAATCTTAATGTTTAATCAATGGCACTTACTGAGAATAATAGGGTGCTACAAACAGGCAAAAATGCATAGAGGATGCAAATGCAGAAGGTCCATGCAAACTACCTCAAGCTGAGAGGAAATGGAATGACTCAGAGTGCGCAGGGCCCGAGTGTGCGGGGTGGTCAGTGCGAGATACCCCCAGGGTATTAAACTTCAGGCACACGTCCATTAAAAAAGAGAAGGCCATCTGTGGACGAAGCTGCCACCAGGGCCAGCTCGGAGATTAGGCCCCCTAAGGTATGCACTTGAAAGGCCAGTAGCACTGATGCCTAAGCCTAGAAGTCCGTCGCCAGGAAATGGCCCCCGGGCCTTTAAGGTCCAAAGGCTAGACCGAGGTTGAAGGGTGTGGGACCTTTAGGAAGGTCGCCACCATTACCCTGAGGGAATCTACTGGAAAGTGACGCGATGTCCGAGGGGCCGGGCTGCCCACCATAGGCTTTCTAGGCCTGGTTCTGGTACATATAGTGATGGGGACCAGCTATTGCCCACATCGTGCCACGGAGGATCTTCTGGGGTCACTAGATTGTAAATCGCGGCCAGTCCATCTTAGTCCCCAGAAGTCCATCTCCAGCATTTGGACCCAGGTGATGGGGCCCCGGAGTATTTTCTCTCCCTCCTGAGCCTCCACGACCAGAAAGAACAGGGCGCTTCCTGGAGGGAGAGCAGCCTATACGGGAGAATGGAGGACGAAAGAGTAAGGAAGGGGCTGAATAAGGGTTGGTGTTCGGAAAAGGTTTCAAGACTGTTCTCAGCGAATCGAAATATTTCCAAATATCAAGGCTAATGCTGCTGATTATAGCTAAAGTATTTACGTTGTCTGAGACTCTACTATGAAAGTTAATTGCAATGATACCGTGAAATGAATGTCGCGCTAAATTTTACTTATATCATGGTGATTAGATATATAGAAAGAGACAAATATATAGAGAGCTGAGTGGGTGGATATTTAGAGATATAAGGTATAATAATAGGGATTTACAGTGGAAATAAATAGAAGTACAAAGATACAGAGAATGGGAGACAAAGATATACAGATGCAGATTAACACAGAAAGAGATACTGAACTTCAGCTAGCGATATAGAGACGGGGATTCAGAGACCCAGAGAGAACATGGAAAGAGAGCGAAATTTCAATAATAAGTATTCTTATCCTCCAATTACGTGCGAGTGATAGATGACTAAATACTTGCCACTTGAAGCGACAGTAATAGTTATCGCCTGGATTGCTCTCAACCTCAAATGGATATTCTTTTATCTGATTTTGGAGGAGACCGCACGCAGTAACGCAAATATTTTTGTGGGGTGCACTTACAAATTACTGCGTGCACAAGGAAGATAAATTTTTAAGACAAACACCCAAAAAGTTGGAAAAATCGATGAAAAGGGACGTGTCTCATTTATATATTTGCATTTTTTTTTTTTTTTTTTTTTTTTTTTTTTTTTTTTTAGCGGAGTAGAGAGGGATTCGGAAACATGCACATATCAATTTATATGAAATGCACGGAGAAAGATCCAGCAAGTATTTCTTTCTCCCTTCCAGCAGTGCCACTTCTTGAAACACTCTTCAGGGATTGGCTGCTGATCATGTACATTGATGATGGAAGTAATAAAGGTAGAAATACTACGATTATTGGTACTGGCAGTAATGATAATGATAATGATAATGATTACAACAATGATTATATTATAGCACTACTAATGTTAGTACTACTAACACTGATGGTGATGATAATGATAATAACAACAATGATAACACTAATAAGAATAATAATGATACTAAGAATAATAACAATATTAGTGATAGTGGTATTAATGATTATGATAAGATACTGATTGTGATAATAATATAAATAACACTGATAATGATAATGATAATAATAACTATAACGATAAAGTGATGATAATGACAATGATACTAATAATGATGTTCCTAATAAGAATAACTATTATTGTCCATATTGACAATGATAATAGTAATTGTGCTGATAATGATGTTAATGCTAATTGTAATATATTAATGCTAGTGACTGATAATAATGACAATGATTATTATGGCAATAGATATAATGAGAAAAATTACAATGGCAATAATGATAATGATAATAATATTGATAATAACAATAATGATAATCATAATGAAGATAATGATAATAATGAAAATAATGATAATGAAATTAATGATAATAATGAAAATAATGAAATAATAAGATAATAATAATGATAATAATGAAAATAATGATAATAATGAAAATAGTGATAATAATAAGGATAATAATAATAATAATAATAACAACGATGATAACGATAACAATGATTTAATACTAATACTGATAAGGATAAAGATTATGGGGATAATAATAGGGATAATCGTGATGACTATAGTAATAATGATAATGGTAATAACCGTCATACAATAGTAATAGTAACAATAATATTAATAATATCAGGAGACTGGTTTCCGCTCCCTCAAAGTCACCTTCCAAATAGCAGGGCCAGATAACCACACCCGGCTTGCTGAGGGCTGACTAAGCTCACACCCTGATCTCTAATCAGTCCACCACAAGACACGCTCAAGCTTGGGCATTGCCACCACCCCAGACTCCCCTGCCGGACCTTCCCTTGAGCGGGCATGTCTTTGCTCCAGCCGCGCGCCCTCGCCTGCGCTGCCGCTTGTGGAACCCGATCGGGCGCTTCCCGAAACCACCAACACCAGGGGATTCCAAGCTCCGTCAACATCATATGATTTATCTTTTATGGATTTTTTCTGATGCGTCAACAGCCTAGGTCATTAACGCCGTATTGAAAATATAACGATACCGAAAGGTTTGGGGACAAAGCCTCCAGCGCTATGATAAAGTGTGGCGAAAAGGGTTAAAATGAGTAATGATTAGGACAAAATATGTTATATGTCAAAGGTTTCGAGCGCTGTAGGTTAGTATGGCAGTGAAAAGGATGAAGAGGGAAGAGCAAACGAAAAAACGAAGGCTGTTCAGGACGGACACAAAGCCAGCCCTTCATCCGTTCAGCACAGCTGAAAGAATGTTTAGAAATAGGGGATTAAGGAAAGAAGGAACAGGAAAAGGGGGGGGGGAGACCAAGCAAAATTAGTTGAAGCGACGACTGGGGTCCAAGGTAGGGGTGGTCCATCTTGACATGTTAGATATGATAATAGCATGATGATTATGATGATAAATGTGGTGGTAATCCTATAATTTATAATTATCATTACCACCATCATTATTATTTCCCTCATTATTATTAGTCTTTATCATCATCACCATCGTCATTATTATCATGATTATTATCATTATCATCATTCGCATTATTGCTACTGTTACTACTATAATTATTTGTTATATCATACTTATCATAACTATTATCATTACCAATACTATTATTATCATCATTATTGATGCAGAGTTCGTTTCTCCCGGGACCAAGCCTCTGGTAGCGGACTCCAAGGAGCAGGCATTGGGGCTCCAGGTTTTTTAGGTCCAACCCACTCCAGACCACGGTCTATATAATCGAATTATAGAGAACTTGCGCGAGAAATTGCAATTGTCGTCTGGAGATTACCGCTGTGGCTGGGCACCACGGTGGGTAAGACCTAAGCTCTGTCGCGTCAGCACTAGCTGACACACGCTGATCGAGTCGGCATTAGTCGTCACAGACCGGGTTCCCATCATATCCCGGGCGAGCCTCAGCTTCGCATATCGGCCTTATCCTTAACTTGACACCACTTCTGAGATGGTTGCAGCGGCAGTTTTGGCCAAGTTCTATATAACTTGGTTTGGGGCGCAGAGGGACGTCTATTCCTAGCATTTGCCCTAGCTCTCCGCCTGGCACTCAGGGGGGGGGGTCGTGTCTCCTGCCACAAATCCAAGCATGGAGGAGGGAGTCCTTGGGCACTCCGTGACGCTCTATTTCCTCCTCGATGGAACCGGTGTCGGGACCTAGAGTAATTGGACGCTCTACGACCTCAGCCCAGAGGATGGAGAGGGTTAATAGCTAATGGTAAAAAAACAAGATAAATGTGCTAGACATCTAAGGTCATATAGCACTATAGGAAAGTATATTAAAGGAAGGGTGAAGGGTGATAGTTGCTATGCGTTAATCTTGAAAGGTTAAAGATGGGTAAGGGAGCTGATGTGTGAATGGGCTATATGGTGGGCTTAAGTAAGGGAATTACATAAGGGTTTCACGTGTAAATCCAGGAGGGAGTGGAAATGATAGAGGACATGGAGGGAGGGAGAATGTACGTGTAGTTGGAATTGAGGGGGGTGAGTTGGGTTGGGAGGGAGTAGGAGGAAGTGTTGTAGGGGGACTTTGAGTAGGAGGAGGATTGGTT